TTTTTTTAAAAAAATTAAAAAATAAAAAAGGGGTGACCCCACCCCCCAACATCCCCCCACCCCCCCCTTGGTGGGGGGGGAAATTCTGGAAGTTGAAGTCCACACAGGACGTGAGTTGTCTGTTCCCTAATGAGTTACTGTAATAACCTTAAGCAAAACATCACATTATTTTAGCTTCCCACCTCAGCTAATGCTTTCTACTTTCCTGTGGAAGGAACCATGATCCCTGCACATATGTGTAAGCTATGGCCAGCTCTCTCTTGCAATACCAGCTCTGACATCTTTTCCCCGTGAGAAAGAGGCTTCTGTTTTTCTACCTTATTCTCTTGAAAACTTCTTGCAAATTTCTCTTTGTGTCGTTTCTGGAGATGGTGAAAAGGTCTCCTGTTGGTGGTTTACAGTCTGGGATCCTACTTTCCTGCCCGCTGAAGCCTGTCTGGGTGCCCAGACACTCCAGTCTGAAAAATATCCCCAGGAGGAGCTCCTTCTTAGCATCCTCCCTTGAGATGGAATGAAAGCCACGAGAGTGTTGCCTATGCCGTGAAAAACTGGACCATCAGTTACTAAATAATTGCCAGAACCGCATTTGCAGCCTGTTTGAATGTCACCAGAATTCTCTCCGCAGAAAGAAAATTCAAGAGCAAACTGAACGGGCGGGAAATTGAGCAAGGCCATTTCTTTCTCAGCCCTAACTCAAGCAAAAGCAACCAGCTGCTGCCTAAATTTTCCCGCAATGCCCCACAGCAAGGCTAGGAGATGGGGGCAGTAGGGAATCCAGCAGGGCAGCCAAGCTTCCCAAGGGACACTGGTCTGAACACAGATTCAGCTTTTGCTTCAAAGAGGATCTAAACCAGGTCCTCTGATATCAAACCAACCCGAGATCAGATCTATCTGTTAGAGACAAGTAGAAACCTTCACTCCCACCCGGAAGGGAGGGCTGTCCAGACCATTGTACAGACGGGGGACGGGAGTGGGGTGGAATAGCACAAAAACACAAGCTTTGATTTCAGTATAAACAGGGCTCGCTTTTAATACACAGCAGTTGCTGGAATTCTTTCATAATGGCTTCTTAGCTTTTCTGTGATAAATTACCTTTCAGAAGTTCCTGGATTCTTGTGTGTCCGTCTCAATGGATTCAGCCTACCTTTGCTGCAGAGAAGCCTAACGCCCAGCCAGTTAACCCTAACTCTCCAAGAAATAAAGTCTGGGTTTACTCAGCAGGCGAAAAATGTAATCTTGGATTAACCAAACACCATTGCAAGACCTAACATGCAAGACCCAAACTGATAAGCCATGGTCCAGCTTCATGTGATGTCTGGTTCCCCTGACAGGCCAAGACAAGGGCTGGGTTCCCCCACAAGCTAAACCCCATTTTAACTGAGCTTAATATGCAAATTCAGCAAACAAAATCTGGCATCTGGGCCAGGCTTCCTTAAGAAGGGGGCCTTGTTCACCATTGCACCACTGGCTGTGCTGAGGGTCTGGGGGGTGATAAGGCCAGCAGGCCAATGGACCTGGAGAGTGCCAATAGTGTGGCCACCCTGGCTGCAAACCATGGGCTTGGTAGTCTTCGGTTGAAGGAAATCTGGCCTAGTGTCAGGTTCAGCCCAAAGAGCTCCACGAGACAGTACATATATAGTTCTATAGCATTTATTAGCTTCCGCCTACAAGATAGAATCTCGCCAGACTGAATCTAAACTCCCCAAGCCAGCAAGCAAACACTGCGAATTCCTT